ACTGTGGTGTCATGACAGCCACTGTGGTGTCCTGACAGCCACTGTGGTACTGTGGTGTCATGACAGCCACTGTGGTGTCCTGACAGCCACTGTGGTACTGTGGTGTCATGACAGCCACTGTGGTACTGTGGTGTCCTGACAGCCACTGTGGTGTCATGACAGCCACTGTGGTACTGTGGTGTCCTGACAGCCACTGTGGTGTCCTGACAGCCACTGTGGTACTGTGGTGTCCTGACAGCCACTGTGGTGTCATGACAGCCACTGTGGTGTCATGACAGCCACTGTGGTACTGTGGTGTCATGACAGCCACTGTGGTACTGTGGTGTCATGACAGCCACTGTGGTACTGTGGTGTCATGACAGCCACTGTGGTACTGTGGTGTCATGACAGCCACTGTGGTACTGTGGTGTCATGACAGCCACTGTGGTGTCCTGACAGCCACTGTGGTACTGTGGTGTCCTGACAGCCACTGGTGTCCTGACAGCCACTGTGTGTCATGACAGCCACTGTGGTGTCCTGACAGCCACTGTGGTGTCCTGACAGCCACTGTGGTGTCCTGACAGCCACGGTGGCGCGTGTTACCCCTTTGGGGGGGAAACCTACCGGTGATTGTTTTGATTTTAATTCAATAGACCGTATTTAATTGTATTTATTACTTGTCAGTGGACTGTATTTTAATAATGTATTATCACCAGTAAACTGCCCTTCACACATTTTTTGTGGTGGGGGGGGGGGGCGGGTTAATAATTCAGTTTTTCACACCATAATGAAACGGTTTATATAAATTTATGTACTAAACTGTAATTAAATAGTTAGTAGCACTGCTACACATGTGTTTGTTATATTTTAAAACATTCGGCAGTTTTGCCTGGTCATGCAACATCACATTTCCCCTGACACGTGTAGCAAGTACTGGTCACGTACTGGTCACGTACTGGTCACGTACTGGTCACGTATTAATGTCGTCCGCGTGGTCCATGGGTATATACCGCCTCAACTGGCGATAACGGGGTTTGCTTGTCACAGTGGCTGTCAGGACACTACAGTACCACAGTGGCTGTCAGGACACTACAGTACCACAGTGGCTGTCAGTACACCACAGTACCACAGTGGCTGTCAGGACACCACAGTACTACAGTGGCTGTCAGGACACTACAGTACCACAGTGGCTGTCAGTACACCACAGTACCACAGTGGCTGTCAGGACACTACAGTACCACAGTGGCTGTCAGGACACTACAGTACCACAGTGGCTGTCAGGACACTACAGTACCACAGTGGCTGTCAGGACACTACAGTACCACAGTGGCTGTCAGGACACTACAGTACCACAGTGGCTGTCAGTACACCACAGTACCACAGTGGCTGTCAGTACACCACAGTACCACAGTGGCTGTCAGGACACTACAGTACCACAGTGGCTGTCAGGACACCACAGTACCACAGTGGCTGTCAGGACACTACAGTACCACAGTGGCTGTCAGGACACTACAGTACCACAGTGGCTGTCAGGACACCACAGTACCACAGTGGCTGTCAGGACACCACAGTACCACAGTGGCTGTCAGGACACCACAGTACCACAGTGGCTGTCAGTACACCACAGTACCACAGTGGCTGTCAGTACACCACAGTACCACAGTGGCTGTCAGGACACTACAGTACCACAGTGGCTGTCAGGACACTACAGTACCACAGTGGCTGTCAGGACACTACAGTACCACAGTGGCTGTCAGGACACTACAGTACCACAGTGGCTGTCAGTACACCACAGTACCACAGTGGCTGTCAGGACACCACAGTACCACAGTGGCTGTCAGGACACTACAGTACCACAGTGGCTGTCAGGACACCACAGTACCACAGTGGCTGTCAGGACACTACAGTACCACAGTGGCTGTCAGGACACCACAGTACCACAGTGGCTGTCAGGACACTACAGTACCACAGTGGCTGTCAGGACACCACAGTACCACAGTGGCTGTCAGGACACCACAGTACTACAGTGGCTGTCAGGACACCACAGTACCACAGTGGCTGTCAGGACACCACAGTACCACAGTGGCTGTCAGTACACCACAGTACCACAGTGGCTGTCAGGACACCACAGTACCACAGTGGCTGTCAGGACACCACAGTACCACAGTGGCTGTCAGGACACTACAGTACTACAGTGGCTGTCATGACACCACAGTACCACAGTGGCTGTCATGACACCACAGTACCACAGTGGCTGTCAGGACACAACAGTACCACAGTGGCTGTCAGGTCACCACAATACCCCAGTGGCTGTCATGACACCACAGTATCCCAGTGGCTGTCAGGACACTACAGTACTACAGTGGCTGTCAGGACACCACAGTACCACAGTGGCTGTCAGGACACTACAGTACCACAGTGGCTGTCAGGACACCAGTACCACAGTGGCTGTCAGTACCCACAGTACCACAGTGGCTGTCAGGACACTACAGTACCACAGTGGCTGTCAGTACATCACAGTACCACAGTGGCTGTCAGGACACTACAGTACCACAGTGGCTGTCAGTACACCACAGTACCACAGTGGCTGTCAGGACACTACAGTACCACAGTGGCTGTCAGGACACTACAGTACCACAGTGGCTGTCAGGACACTACAGTACCACAGTGGCTGTCAGGACATTACAGTACCACAGTGGCTGTCAGGACACCACAGTACCACAGTGGCTGTCAGGACACTACAGTACCACAGTGGCTGTCAGGACACCACAGTACCACAGTGGCTGTCAGGACACTACAGTACTACAGTGGCTGTCAGGACACCACAGTACCACAGTGGCTGTCAGGACACTACAGTACCACAGTGGCTGTCAGGACACTACAGTACCACAGTGGCTGTCAGGACACTACAGTACCACAGTGGCTGTCAGGACACTACAGTACCACAGTGGCTGTCAGGACACCACAGTACCACAGTGGCTGTCAGGACACTACAGTACCACAGTGGCTGTCAGGACACCACACTACCCCAGTGGCTGTCAGGACACTACAGTACCACAGTGGCTGTCAGGACACCACAGTGCTACAGTGGCTGTCAGGTCACCACAGTACCACAGTGGCTGTCAGGACACCACAGTATCCCAGTGGCTGTCAGGACACTACAGTACTACAGTGGCTGTCAGGACATCAGAGTACCACAGTGGCTGTCAGGACATCAGAGTACCACAGTGGCTGTCAGGACACCACAGTACCACAGTGGCTGTCAGGACACAACAGTACCACAGTGGCTGTCAGGTCACCACAGTACCACAGTGGCTATCAGGACACCACAGTACCACAGTGGCTGTCAGGACACCACAATACCACAGTGGCTGTCAGGAGACCACAGTGGCTGTCAGGACACCACAGTACCACAGTGACTGTCAGGACACCACAGTGACTGTCAGGACACCACAGTGGCTGTCAGGACACCACAGTACCACAGTGGCTGTCAGGAGACCACAGTGGCTGTCAGGAGACCACAGTGGCTGTCAGGACACCACAGTACCACAGTGATTGTCAGGGCACCACAGTACCACAGGTTTGCTATAATAACATATGTATTGTTATGCTAGACTACAGTAGCTTAGGTTTGGCTGTATTGGGCTCGGTTGGGTTAGGTTAGTGTGGGTTAGGTTGGGTTAGGTTAGTGTGGGTTAGGTTGGGTTAGGTTAGGTAGCCTGACATTGTGGGTGAAATACAATTATATGTAAGTTAAAATAATGTTAAAAAAACACATTTTGCTTATTGGCTTATTTATCATGTTTAGCAGTTTATACTTATTTATTAATTAATTAAATAATATACCGTACTGATGTAAAAATTTTAATTGTATAAAATGACATATTTAATCCTAATTAGACTGTTACAAATGATTTAGTTAGCATTGCAAACCAACAATGGCCTTCCTGCTATTCTGACTAAGTTTGAAATAATAGTAGGATCATCACCTACTCTCATATATATGTTCACTAGTGTTTGTTTGCAAAATAACTACTGGAATAATATCTTGCTACGAGGAATTAATTATCACTTCAGAAAAGACATATTTATTACAAGTTACTATCTGAAAAATCATCTATAGTTAACATCAAGGACTCACCATTAGAAATATTTTGTTTATTATTAAATTTCGATCCTCGGGTTTGTGTAGTAGAGACCAACATGAGTTATATACGGTTTACGTAAAGCTACGACTGGTCTGGAGGTGTCGTAGCGCCAGGCGGTGTCCTTAGGAAGATCGGCGGTTTTAAACGCCTTCCAAAATCCCGACGTAGCCACCTAGACGATGGTAAGAACAAAAACTGTCTTAAGTACTTGCATAACTGCTTCGTGACTGGGCCCTGGCCTGTGCTTGGCTTCCCTGGCCCCGGGCCCCAGCCTGGGCCACCCTGGCCCTGGGCCCCAGCCTGGGCCATCCTGGCCCCGGGCCCCAGCCTGGGCCATCCTGGCCCACGTTTGGCGTCTGCGTGGCTGCAGCCTAGCGCTGCCTTTCAATTACAATGCTTCAATTGTCCTTTACCAATCTGTCGTCAGTCTTCATCTTGCGTACCTCTACATAACCCCAACTTTTATCTTGCATGGTCAAATCCGAACCATTCACAAGCGACCTAAAGACTGGTTGCAAGATAGCCATTAACTTGGGCTCCTCTGTTGTCGCTGTGTTGGTAACACTGCAGGCAGCACGTTGTCAGGCCTGCCAGACGTAGGTCCACTGGAAAACTTTTCTTACCTTAGAATTGTTTCACGTCTACACTTCACAACCACTTTTGACCAGTATTAACCTCCAAAGAAAGTATGTTTGTTACGGTTATAATGGAAACTTAATTTTATATATAATTTAAATTTACAACTGTCTTAAATAATCCAAAATAATAATAAAGATATGACGAGTCAGCGGCGAAATATAGGAATCTTGCTAGTTTAACCTCCCTTCATCACCCGCCAAAAGGGCTCTTGTCAATAACTTGTTTCTTACACAGGTAGAGAAACGGTTCCTCTTAAGAAATATAGACACATCAACATTCTGCAAATTTCGAGCTATAAATCAAGCCTCTGGCGCCAGTGGTTGGTGAGTTATGGCCGTCCGGGCCATTTTGACCCACCCCCACCCCCAAATACATCCCCCTACCTCCTAACACCCACAAAACCCCCCCAACTCCTCTCCCCAACCCCAACACCTCCTACCCCCCAACACCCCCCTACCCCCCAACACCCCCTACCCCCCCCAACACCCCCTACCCCCAACACCCCCAACACCCCCTACCCCAAACACCCCAAACCCCCATCACTCCCAACACCCCCTACCCCCAACACCCCTTAACCCCCAACACCCCCTAACCCCCAACACCCTCAACACCCCCTAAACCCAAACACACCCTACCCCCAACACCCCCTAACCCCGAACACCCCCTACCCCCAACACCCCTTAACCCCCAACACCCCCTAACCCCCAACACCCTCAACACCCCGTAAACCCAAACACCCCCTACCCCCCAACACCCCCTAACCCCCAACCCCCCAACCCCCCAACCCCGGTAGCCGGCCCAACAACCCAACAATGGTGGCCATCACCCCAAATCACGTCTTTCATATTGACGGCTTATTTGTCAGGGATTAAGAACTTAACTTTATTTAATTAAGATTAAGATAAGTAATTAAGATTAAGAATAAACGTTTTTAAATAAAAATTTCACTCCACTCTACTCTTCCATGACCCCAGTATGGCCCCAGCCTTACTCTTCCATGACCCCAGTATGGCCCCAGCCTTAATCTTCCATGACCCCCCCAGTATGGCCCCAGCCTTAATCTTCCATGACCCCAGTATGGCCCCAGCCTTATCTTCCATGACCCCAGTATGGCCCCAGCCTTAATCTTCCATGACCCCAGTATGGCCCCAGCCTTACTCTTCCATGACCCCAGTATGGCCCCAGCCTTAATCTTCCATGACCCCAGTATGGCCCCAGCCTTAATCTTCCATGACCCCAGTATGGCCCCAGCCTTAATCTTCCATGACCCCAGTATGGCCCCAGCCTTAATCTTCCATGACCCCAGTATGGCCCCAGCCTTAATTTTCCATGACCCCAGTATGGCCCCAGCCTTAATCTTTCATGACCCCAGTATGGCCCCAGCCTTAATCTTCCATGACCCCAGTATGACCCCAGCCTTAATCTTCCATGACCTCAGCCTTAATCTTCCATGACCCCAGTATGGCCCCAGCCTTAATCTTCCATGACCCCAGTATGGCCCCAGCCTTAATCTTCCATGACCTCAGTATGACCCCAGCCTTAATCTTCCATGACCCCAGTATGGCCCCAGCCTTAATCTTCCATGACCCCTGTATGGCCCCAGCCTTAATCTTCCATGACCCCAGTATGGCCCCAGCCTTAATCTTCCATGACCCCAGTATGGCCCCAGCCTTAATCTACCATGACCCCAGTATGGCCCCAGACTTAATCTTCCATGACCCCAGTATGGCCCCAGCCTTAATCTACCATGACCCCAGTATGGCCCCAGCCTTAATCTTCCATGACCCCAGTATGGCCCAAACCTTAATCTTCCATGACCACAGTATGGCCCCAGCCTTAATCTTCCATGACCCCAGTATGACCCCAGCCTTAATCTACCATGACCCCAGTATGACCCCAGCCTTACTCTTCCATGACCCCAGTATGGCCCCAGCCTTAATCTTCCATGACCCCAGTATGACCCCAGCCTTACTCTTCCATGACCCCAGTATGGCCCAGCCTTAATCTTCCCTGACCCCAGTGTGGCCCCAGCCTTAATCTTCCATGACCCCAGTATGGCCCCAGCCTTAATCTTCCATGACCCCAGTATGGCCCCAGCCTTAATCTTCCATGACCCCAGTATGGCCCCAGCCTTAATCTTCCATGACCCCAGTATGGCCCCAGCCTTAATCTTCCCTGACCCCAGTATGGCCCCAGCCTTAATCTTCCCTGATCCCAGTGTGGCCCCAACCTTAATCTTCCCTGACCCCAGTATGGCCCCAGCCTTAATCTTCCCTGACCCCAGTATGGCCCCAGCCTTAATCTTCCCTGATCCCAGTGTGGCCCCAACCTTAATCTTCCCTGACCCCAGTATGACCCCAGCCTTAATCTTCCATGACCCCAGTATGGCCCCAGCCTTAATCTTCCCTGACCCCAGTGTGGCCCCAACCTTAATCTTCCCTGACCCCAGTATGACCCCAGCCTTAATCTTCCCTGACCCCAGTGTGGCCCCAACCTTAATCTTCCCTGACCCAGTGTGGCCCCAACCTTAATCTTCCCTGACCCCAGTATGACCCCAGCCTTAATCTTCCCTGACCCCAGTGTGGCCCCAACCTTAATCTTCCCTGACCCCAGTATGGCCCCAACCTTAATCTTCCCTGACCCCAGTGTGGCCCCAACCTTAATCTTCCCTGACCCCAGTATGACCCCAGCCTTAATCTTCCATGACCCCAGTATGGCCCCAGCCTTAATCTTCCCTGATCCCAGTGTGGCCCCAACCTTAATCTTCCCTGACCCCAGTATGACCCCAGCCTTAATCTTCCATGACCCCAGTATGGCCCCAGCCTTAATCTTCCATGACCCCAGTGTGGCCCCAACCTTACTCTTCCATGACCCCAGTGTGGCCCCAACCTTAATCTTCCCTGACCCCAGTGTGGCCCCAGCCTTAATCTTCCCTGACCCCAGTATGGCCCCAGCCTTAATCTTCCCTGACCCCAGTGTGGCCCCAACCTTAATCTTCCCTGACCCCAATGTGGCCCCAACCTTAATCTTCCCTGACCTGGTGAGAGTAAGAGCAGCCCGTGAGAGAGAGAGGGAAGGGGTCGAGTGTGAGGGAAGTCAACAGGTGGACGGACAGGACAGACGTACAAGGTGTTGAAGACAATTCGATTCAAAGTTTTTAATGTCCATGAGATACAATGCATTAGACATGAGACATGGAATTGATCTAAGTACGTAAGAAAAGCGGGGCCAGGTGCCTGGCTCGACCCCTGCAGGCACATATAGGAGTGTACAGCTAGGTATGTACATCTAGGTGTGTACATAGAGGTGTGTAGCTAGGTGTGTACATCTAGGTGTGTACATGTAGGTGTGTACATCTAGGTGTGTACATGTAGGTGTGTATATCTAGGTGTGTACCTGTAGGTGTGTATATCTAGGTGTGTACCTGTAGGTGTGTATATCTAGGTGTGTACCTGTAAGTGTGTATATCTAGGTGTGTACCTGTAGGTGTGTATATCTAGGTGTGTACCTGTAGGTGTGTACATCTAGGTGTGTATATCTAAGCGTGTACATCTAGGTGTGTACATGTAGGTGTGTATATCTAGGTGTGTACCTGTAGGTGTGTATATCTAGGTGTGTACCTGTAGGTGTGTATATCTAGGTGTGTACCTGTAGGTGTGTACATCTAGGTGTGTATATCTAAGCGTGTACATCTAGGTGTGTACATGTAGGTGTGTATATCTAGGTGTGTACCTGTAGGTGTGTATATCTAGGTGTGTACATCTAGGTGTGTATATCTAAGCGTGTACATCTAGGTGTGCATATCTAGATGTGTACATCTAGGTGAATGCATCTAGGTGAGTACACACTTTCCCAGCAAGTTGCCCATAAAAACAGGTGTCTAACACCCATCTGGGTGAACCGAGGCATCAGGTGAAGGGAAACGTTTACCAAACGCCTTTGAAGTGTATATATGCGATCCTTGGTTGTGGGTCGAGGACTTAGCCGACTGAGCCACAGAGCCCCCTGTGTGTACGGGCACCGGCTGAGTGGCGGTGATGGCCGTATTTAATTCGCTGTGTCGGGGACAGGAAGCCTGCGTATGTATACATACATGCCCTTTTAACCCGCTGCACCTGTTTGCTGCTCCCGTAGTGAAGGGAAGGGAACTATGAGGCGAACGCGCCAAGCCACTATGACTAAATAGCACTAGGTATTGGTCAGGATAAGGATTTGGGATGGGACGGAGGGAAGGAATGGTGCCCAACCACTTGGACGGTCGGGGATTGAACACCGACCTGCATGAAGCGAGACCGTCGCTCCACCGTCCAGCTCAAGTAGATGGATAAATACCTATAGTGAAGTTGTGAAGTCCTCTGTGACGTCCTCTGTGACGTCCTCTGTGACGCCCACTGTGACGTCCTCTGTGACGCCCACTGTGACGCCCTCTGTGACGTCCTCTGTGACGTCCTCTGTGACGCCCACTGTGACGTCCTCTGTGACGCCCACTGTGACGCCCTCTGTGACGCCCTCTGTGACGTCCTCTGTGACGTCCTCTGTGACGTCCTCTGTGACGCCCACTGTGACGCCCTCTGTGACGCCCACTGTGACGTCCTCTGTGACGCCCACTGTGACGCCCTCTGTGACGCCCTCTGTGACGCCCTCTGTGACGCCCTCTGTGACGTCCTCTGTGACGTCTTCTGTGACGTCCTCTGTGACGCCCACTGTGACGTCCTCTGTGACTTCGTCACAGAGGACCTCCTTGAGGGCCTCGTAGCCTGGTGGATAGCGCGCAGGACTCGTAATTCTGTGGCGCGGGTTCGATTCCCGCACGAGGCAGAAACAAATGGGCAAAGTTTCTTTCACCCTAAATGCCCCTGTTACCTAGCAGTAAATAGGTACCTGGGAGTTAGTCAGCTGTCACGGGCTGCTTCCTGGGGGTGGAGGCCTGGCCGCGGGGACACTAAAGCCCCGAAATCATCTCAAGATAACCTCAAGATAAGGTGACGCCCACTGTGACGTCCTCTGTGACGCCCACTGTGACGCCCTCTGTGACGCCCTCTGTGACGTCCTCTGTGACGCCCACTGTGACGCCCTCTGTGACGTCCACTGTGACGCCCACTGTGACGCCCTCTGTGACGTCCTCTGTGACGTCCACTGTGACGCCCTCTGTGATGTCCACTGTGACGCCCACTGTGACGTCCTCTGTGACGCCCACTGTGACGCCCTCTGTGACGCCCACTGTGACGTCCTCTGTGACGCCCACTGTGACGTCCTCTGTGACGCCCACTGTGACGCCCTCTGTGACGCCCTCTGTGACGTCCTCTGTGACGCCCACTGTGACGCCCTCTGTGACGTCCACTGTGACGTCCACTGTGACGTCCACTGTGACGTCCACTGTGACGCCCTCTGTGACGTCCACTGTGACGTCCACTGTGACGTCCACTGTGACGTCCACTGTGACGTCCTCTGTGACGTCCACTGTGACGTCCTCTGTGACGTCCACTGTGACGTCCACTGTGACGTCCACTGTGGCGTCCACTGTGACGTCCACTGTGACGTCCACTGTGGCGTCTACTGTGACGTCCACTGTGACGTCCACTGTGGCGTCCACTGTGACGTCCTCTGTGACGTCCTCTGTGACGTCCATTGTGACGTCCACTGTGGCGTCCACTGTGACGTCCACTGTGACGTCCACTGTGGCGTCCACTGTGACGTCCACTGTGACGTCCACTGTGACGTCCACTGTGGCGTCCACTATGACGTCCACTGTGACGTCCACTGTGGCGTCCACTGTGACGTCCACTGTGACGTCCAGTGGCGTCCACTGTGACGTCCACTGTGACGTCCACTGTGACGTCCTCTGTGACGTCCACTGTGACGTCCTCTGTGACGTCCTCTGTGACGTCCACTGTGACGCCCACTGTGACGTCCACTGTGACGTCCACTGTGACGTCCACTGTGGCGTCCACTGTGACGTCCACTGTGACGTCCACTGTGACGTCCACTGTGGCGTCCACTATGACGTCCACTGTGACGTCCACTGTGACGTCCTCTGTGACGTCCACTGTGGCGTCCACTGTGACGTCCACTGTGGCGTCCACTGTGACGTCCACTGTGACGTCCACTGTGACGTCCACTGTGGCGTCCACTGTGACGTCCACTGTGACGTCCACTGTGACGTCCACTGTGGCGTCCACTGTGACGTCCACTGTGACGTCCACTGTGACGTCCACTGTGACGTCCACTGTGACGTCCACTGTGACGTCCACTGTGACGTCCACTGTGACGTCCACTGTGACGTCCACTGTGACGTCCACTGTGACGTCCACTGTGGCGTCCACTGTGACGTCCACTGTGACGTCCACTGTGACGTCCACTGTGACGTCCACTGTGCCACACATTTCTCTCTGGGTTTCCAGTCTTGTCTGGTCGTTCCTCTACTGTATTGAACATTGTTTGTTTGTTCACGTTCATCATTTCCCTCACCTTATAACACCGGTCATGTTCACTCTGTTCTACAGTGTCCTGAGCCCTGAGCCCTGAGTCCTGAGGCCTGAGTCCTGAATTCTGAGTCCTCAACCCTGAGGCCTGAGTCCTGAGTCCTTAGGCATGATCGCTGAGCACTGAGACTTGAGTCCTCAGGCCTGAGTCCTGAGCACCGAGGCCTGAGCACTGAGGCCTGAGTCCTGAGGCCTGAGCACTGAGGCCTGAGCACCGAGGCCTGAGTCCTGAGGCCTGAGCACTGAGGCGTGAGTCCTGAGGCCTGAGCACTGAGGCCTGAGCACTGAGGCGTGAGTCCTGAGGCCTGAGCACTGAGGCCTGAGCACCGAGGCCTGAGCACTGAGGCCTGAGCACTGAGGCGTGAGTCCTGAGGCCTGAGCACTGAGGCGTGAGTCCTGAGGCCTGAGCACTGAGGCCTGAGCACTGAGGCGTGAGTCCTGAGGCCTGAGCACTGAGGCCTGAGCACTGAGGCCTGAGCACCGAGGCGTGAGTCCTGAGGCCTGAGCACTGAGGCGTGAGTCCTGAGGCCTGAGCACTGAGGCCTGAGCACTGAGGCGTGAGTCCTGAGGCCTGAGCACTGAGGCCTGAGCACCGAGGCCTGAGCACTGAGGCCTGAGCACTGAGGCGTGAGTCTTGAGGCCTGAGCACCGAGGCGTGAGTCCTGAGGCCTGAGCACTGAGCCCTGAGCCGCAGTCCAGCAGCCTCACAGTTCCCAAAGGCTTGTTGCATGGCACTGAACTATTTCCAGTTCGGCTTTATGTTTTTTAGGCTGAGGGCTCCATGCATATTCACGGGTGCGTGTATTCTCGATTGGGGGAGCTGTTGTTGGTGGCGGGGTGCACACGTGTGTGTGTGTGTGTGTGTGTGTGTGTGTGTGTGTGTGTGTGTGTGTGTGTGTGTGTGTGTGTGTGTGTGTGTGTGTGTGTGTGTGTGTGTCATGTGTATGTCGACTGTGGAGTGTATGTATCGATTCGGTCTTGTTTATATTTGTTGCGTTAATGGAAGACAGATTCTTCTCGGCAGTGATTATTAAAGGTGATGAACAGTGCTTGTGTCCGGTGTCACTGTTTGGACTGACAGTGTCCGGTGTCACTGTTTGGACTGACAGTGTCCGGTGTCATTGTTTGGACTGACAGAGTCCGGTGTCACTGTTTGGACTGACAGTGTCCGGTGTCACTGTTTGGACTGACAGTGTCCGGTGTCACTGTTTGGACTGACAGTGTCCGGTGTCACTGTTTGGACTGACAGTGTCCGGTGTCACTGTTTGGACTGACAGTGTCCGGTGTCACTGTTTGGACTGACAGTGTTCGGTATCACTGTTTGGACTGACAGTGTTCGGTGTCACTGTTTGGACTGACAGTGTCCGGTGTCACTGTTTGGACTGACAGTGTCCGGTGTCACTGTTTGGACTGACAGTGTCCGGTGTCACTGTTTGGACTGACAGTGTCCGGTGTCACTGTTTGGACTGACAGTGTCCGGTGTCACTGCTTGGACTGACAGTGTCCGGTGCCACTGTTTGGACTGACAGTGTCCGGTGTCACTGTTTGGACTGACAGTGTCCGGTGTCACTGTTTGGACTGACAGTGTTCGGTGTCACTGTTTGGACTGACAGTGTCCGGTGTCACTGTTTGGACTGACAGTGTCCGGTGTCACTGTTTGGACTGACAGTGTCCGGTGTCACTGTTTGGACTGACAGTGTCCGGTGTCACTGTTTGGACTGACAGTGTCCGGTGTCACTGTTTGGACTGACCAAGGAGACACAGTACCAGGCCGGCCACTGTGTGTTACTCTGACACCATTGGCTGTGTTCAGTGTCACTGGTATCCTGTCATCATGCGCCGTGAACGTGTATCTTGAAACTTTGTGAGACCTTTGGGAAGGACCTTTGGTAGATTGTAACACCCAGTAAACTGTAAACTGTTAAGCCTCTCTCTCTCTCTGCACTTATCGACACCCTACCGGCTGTTATTTACACTGGCCAACCTTCACTTGCCCATGCGACACCTCTGTTCACCCAGCAGTGAATAGATACCTGGTTGTTAAACGATTTAGCGGGTCGTATTTCTTGGAAAAATTAGGAGGAAGGACCTGTCCGGAACGCTATGCGTGCTAGTGGCTGTACAAGAATGTAAGAACTCTTGTATATCAACTGTATTGATGTCGGACAAACATGGCTTCGTTATACATTGTGCTGATAGTTCCTAAATTTCAAAACACGCTCATGACTTCAATCAACCTTCCACAGTGCTCCGTGGACTAGGAGAGTAAATATCAATCTATACTTCGAAGATAAAGTATGTCTGCGCCGCTCAAAAATTGGAGGCCAGACGCTTGGGGCTAACCTCGCTCAAGCTTGTAGGGGAAGTATGGGGTATGGGAGGGACATAGGTTGCTCGGGGTATGCATAAGTTAAATGATTTAAGAGAGGGGGACCAAACTCTCAAGCGGCATTTATTGATCTCCAAACTGCTTTTGATACAGCAAACAAAGAAATAATCCTAGAACAGCTAGCCTCTTTTGGAGTTAAGGGAAGACTGTTGACATGGCTCAGGGGGTACCTGAGTAACAGAACCGCCTCAGTCCTTTTCAAGGGGGTCAAAAGTAAACTCTGTGCACCCTTTGAGTTGGGTACACCCCAGGGTGGAGTGCTAAGTCCCACACTGTTCAATGTTCTGATGCATAAATTAACAATTGATATTCCTACACTACCTGACGAAGCCGTCATTTGTTATGCCGATGATATATGCATTGTTGCAAATTCCCAAACTAGACTGCAAGCTCTACTTGATTCATTCGCTGCTAAAAGCATTGAATGTGGTCTTGTTATCTCTATAACTAAATCCAGAGTTCTCCATCCCAAAGAGAAAACTCATGTCCCTATAGCTTTCAAGGTCAACAGCCAGAACATTGAAACGTGTGGGCAGCACAAATACCTTGGAGTTGGTATTAACAGTGACATTGTAAATGATCTACACCGTAGGTTAAAAGAAAGACTAAAACCATTGAGAACACTTACTGGTAAGAATATTGGTATCAATATTAAATATGCTAGACTATTCTATATGATGTTTGTTAGATCTCTCGTTGATTATAATGCTCTGCACTTAATTAATTTCCCCTCCTCTGTGTTGGACAAACTTGAAGTAATACAGAACGAGGCCATGAGGATAATTCTTGGTGCCCCAAGATGCACAAGAATCATCAACATGAGGGAAGAACTGAAGTTTCCAACCATACTAGAGAGAATAATGCAAGTTAACACTACCTTCTGTCTTAAAGTCATGAGAGATCCTACATCTCCTGCATTGCTCAGAGACAAATTATTTAGTGCTGTTAACACCCTTTTGACTGGTGCTGACATACCAACTCACTCCTTTTATGATAATTGGCTGAGAAACAATGCTTACAATCTCATTAAACTTAACATTCCTTTTAAGTACAATCTACCAGTCTCTGATATTGCTCTTTATCTGTACCCCACCATTCAAGTATCATACACACCTGTCACCAAGAAAGATAATGAGAATCTTGCTCTACTCAAAGCTGTCACCCTTGAAACAATTGCCTCCTCCATCGAGAGTCTAAGATCTCACGAGCACTGTGTCTACACCGACGGCTCAGTCCAGTCTTCTACTGGACGGACTGCAGCGGCATGTAGGTTTTATAGAAATAATATCTGCACAAAGTCTGTCAGTGTCAGGTTAAACAACTGGCTGACCTCCACACAAGCAGAACTAGCAGCATTACATTTAGCAACCAGCACATTAAAAAATATTGGAGGAGGAATAATATTCTGCGATTCAAAGTCTGCTCTTCAAGCAATCGAAAACTTCTCTTGGAAGATCGACAGCAAGAACCTAATACTCCCAATTATAAATGACCTAATTGATGCACAGAGTAAAGGGTCTCGAATCTCCTTTGTATGGATACCCTCACACATAAATATAACCCATCATAATGAGACAGACATTGCAGCCAAACTAGCGTGTAACAAGTTTGAAGTTGAATTAGATCTAGGTATCCCCATCTCTGCTGTCAAAACTGTATTGGTCCAAACATTCAGATCTGATAGGAAAGAACTTACTGACTCCCAACGACCTGAAAGTACTAGTATAAAAAGCTATGATTTGTTCAGATCTGAAACCTACATCTATGGACAGCACAAAACGTCCACTAGACTGTGCGACACAGTGGTTGCAAGGATCAGGTTGGGTTACCGTTACCTGTGGCAGGTGGCTGCAGGTGACGGGTCTCCCAATCCTGAGCACTCCAGTTGCAAACTCTGTGAGCAGGAACTACGGCATGATCTCCCGCACTACATCACTGAATGCCCAGTTATTAGAACTTTCAGACCAGTTGGCATGAGGTACCTGGAGCTTTGCAATTACTTTATTCACTCTCGTATTCTTGAAGATATCCTCACAGTATACCCAAAATTTGCCAGTGCAGGCTATTAAACACATGGCTCTGTATGACTAACCATCCTGCGAGATGGGGACTTGTATTACCACTGCTACCTTATTCAATCTTGTGTTATTGATATCCTCAAAATGCATCCGGAGTCTGCCAGTGCAGACCGCCTATCACATGTCTCTGTATGACTAACCATCCTGTGTGATGGGGATTTTTTAGCATCACCTAGTTAGCTTTTTTGACACACTGTACTCCACTTCATATAGTCTAGGGTAGCTGCACTAATGCAGATGTACCACATATCTTAATAATAAAAAAAAAGATCTGAATAAGAGGTGAATGGAAGGAAAAACAAATAATTTGAGACCCATACATATATTTCAGTGTTTTTGAGGGGGGGGGAGCTCAGGAGGAAGGGAAGAGGGAAGAGGTAACTAGGTAAAGATAGGTGGATAGGTAGAGATAGAGGCGAGACCCGAGCCGGTAC